TTTTTTTATTATAATTTAATTTAAGTTTAATAACGAAATAATTTTTTTTGGTTTAATAATATAACATTTTATAAGATAATAATTAAGTATTCTGTTAGAACTCAATGATTATTCTAGTTATATTTTAGATTTTTTATATTTAAAATGAGATGTTTATCTTGTATTTGATTATGTTTATCTACAGCTAGTTACACGAATTCAGATATGGAGCTTTAATAAGTTGTACTTACGCACAATCTACTTGCAATATTGAGTTTTAAGTAATATGCATTAATAAACAGTACTTTATGCATAAAAAGTGGTTTTTAAGAGTTTATGTCAAATGCTTTATAATATAGTATAGATAATCAATCTGAAATTCTTTTAAAAAATATATTATATATTTTTAATTTTTTTACCATTTGTTTGTATTAGTTACAATATTGTATTATTGGAGATTTATTTCAATTATATTTTGAAATGTTATAATTCATTAATTTTTCAAGATACCCTTTATGGTCATTTTTTACATTCTCATCAACTAGTTTTGTCAAACATGATTTGTTATTAGTTAGTTTAGCTAGCTGATCAGCCATCAGTTAACTTATCAGCTAGTAGCTAGTTTTACCAAACTTAACCTTAGTTTCTATATAGTCCAATTTTTTAATCCCTTTTAATTTCAATGTTAACTGATCTGATTACGGCTATCTTTGGTAAAGTAGTTGATAAGTTAGCTGGTAACTGATAACTGTCGAGCTAGCTAATGAACAAATTATGTTTGTCAAAAAAAATTAACCGATAAGCCTATCTGATCTCATCCGTATTCCGATCAAAGAATCAAAGAAAGAAGGTTTCAACATATAAAATGACCAAAAAAAACATCTTAAAAAATTAGTCAATTATAATGTTTTATAGTATAAATAAACCAATATTTAATAGATTAATACAAATAAGATAGTACAGAAAAAAAAATTAAAATAACATAATATGTTAATTAAAAGAATTTTAAATCGATTATTATATTGAAGGCTTCAATCCATTGTGAGTTGGTTCCTCTGTTTTATGGAAACAATATTATTTTAAGTGCCATTATTCCATAAAATTTTGGATTTATATAATTTTTTATTTTAAATCCATTACATATAATATGAATAAAAAATGGTCAATCTTACATATCCTAATTAATTAGTAGCTTTAAAAAAATATAATTAATAATTAAATTAAGTGTTTTATTAAATCATCTA